TGACAAGAAAATCCCCAAAACTTTACTGTACACTACCTTCTACTTATGTATAAGAGAACAGGATACATGTATCCGACTCATAGCATCTACATCTCTGTCTCACTTTCTATGTACAAGGACATCTCACTCTTACTCACATATAGACAAACCAGCCCCTACTCACTCATCTTCTCCTGGTTTTGCCTATACAACTGAGCCCTACCTCCGTCTGGAGCTCTCTCCACCACTCGACCCTGTCTATCGTACATCCTTCCATCCCGCTCAGTAACCCGTCTCGCGCCCTTATCCTTGAAGAACTTAGGACACTCTAGGGCCCTGTGCATACCATCCAGAAAGTAGAAGCACATAGCCTCCGACTTTCTCTGAAACTTCCTCTTCTTTTTCTGGGCCCCAGACGACGGGAGTGCCTCTCCTGTCTCCCTGCCCACTTCATGGCTCTGAGGCAGGTGCCACGACTCCTCGGCCCCTTCCCCAGGTCCCTGAGCACTCGGCTCCCCTCGCCTCTCACTTCCCTCGGGCCCGTACTCGGGAGTATCCAATCTTAGTGGCCTGCCCCCATGGGTCCTCTCTGTCACAGCCACTTCCTCACTCTTGCAAGGCTCCGAAGTCTGGGGAGTAACTGCGCTCGGGGACTGGCTCGTGGCCTCCTGCTGTTGTCGCTCAGTGGCCTGTCCTCCTGAGTCAGTCTCAGTGGCCCAGGAGCCCAACTGTGTCTTCAGCTCCCTCATTTCCGGCACATGCTCCGGGGTCTCCACTCTCTGAGGCCTCTCTGGTGGTATATCTACCTCCATGGCGGCCACCAACTCGTCCAGACGCGACGACTCTCTCCCTTGTGCCTCAGATTGAGGGGGTACCATTGCTCCAGTAGGGGTCCCTTCCTGCACTTCCAAAAGGATCGTAAGCGACTCTTCTGCAGGTTCTTCTTCTGTAGGTGCAGGCTGAGGCTCCTGAGTTGGCACCTCTATAGGGTCCTTAGCTGAAATAGGGGCCTCTTGCCGCGAGGCTAACTCAGTGGGAGCCTTGAACTCAAAACTTCCCTTGTTAGCCTCTCTCCTCGCCTCTACCTCAGCCGGGTCCAGAAACACCTTCTTTAACTTTTTCTGTTGAGCTGTCTCTACCGCCTCTCCCTGGCCAAGCAGTCCCTGCATCCCTTCGTCCTGAATGCCATACCTGCTCTGTCTAGTCCAATCGACCACCTTAGTGGCCGAAAATCTTTCCACCGCAGTTGACATGTCCTTGAGCCTTTTCTCCCACTCAACTTCTTCCGCTTCCAGGCGAGTCCTCCAGGCCTTATTCTCAGCTTTTTCTTCTGCGAGCTGAGCAGTCAGCTATTCCACCTCTCCCTTCCTGATTGCCAGCTCATCACTAAGCAGAGTATACCTCTGGAAGGATATAGTGGTTGTTTGTCGTATCCTTTTGTCCACCCGCTCGATGGTCCTCCTGGCGGCAGAACATCTCAACTCTCCAATCTCTATCGCCTCATCTGCCCTCTCATTTGTATGCCCTGTCGCTTGTGACCTCTGGTGAGCTGCCTCCCTTCGACTCTCATATCTGGCCCACAGCTCGTCAATCCTTTGCTCGCTCGTCTTGGGGTCAACCGGTGGTGTCGGCGCTATCCCTGCAGCCTCCATCCTGTCCCTCCGCTCATGTATCTCTGCAAGGCGGGCCTGTACCCAAGCAAACTTTGCCTCTGCAGTCTCATCTGACACCCTTTCTACCCTCACTCCACGAACCTCCCAGGCTGGAGCTTGCGCGCCTCTTTCAGGCTCGACGTGCGGTGACCCAGATGATGGCCCAACCGGAATAGGCACCATATCAGGGTGTTCAGATGCATGTGCGGCTAAGCGCGAATCAATGACCACGCTGGGCTCAGTCCTCCATCCCTCTTCTGGTCCCCGTGCCTTATCCTCCTGTCTGGGTGACACAGTGGCTAAGCGCGAATCAATGACCACGCGGGGCTCAGTACCCTGGCTGTCTGGCTCCGGGACTCCCTCTGGCCAAGGTTGCCGCACCTGCTCTGGAACTGGGGTATGAGGAGCAGTGTCGCCCTTTATCATAATAATCTCCCCAGCATGCAACTCCTCTTGCCCGCGTGGCTCAGTCTCGGGCTCAGGGCGTGCCGGCTCCTTTCCTGATGGATCCGCTGGGCCCACCCCCATTGAAGGGGCTCCCCATTGGGAAGCATCAAGATGTGCTTCCAGACTTCTGAATGGAGCCTCTGATGGTCCGCTCTCTCCCCGCCCTGCTGATCGCAGTGAAGGTCCCTGTAGGTACTGCTAGTAACGTGGTGGAACTCCACCTGCCTAAGTCCACAGGCAGGGAAAGACTCTGTCGCCTGAGCAAGTCCTGGTCGTCCTCCTTCCCGTTGCGCCAAAGCCATCCGACCTCCCCTTGTCACAATGGGCTCCCTCGGCTCCAGATCCCTCAGCCTCTTGCGTTTTCGCCTCCTATCAATCCTGGGCTCAGGTCTATCTCATTCTGGCCGTCAAAACGCCTCCCTCAACTGAGCCTGGCAGTCCTCCCAGTCACGTGCCCTATTTCGGATCTGTCTTCCCAGCGGTCTGTCCGCCCTCCTGGTCCATAGGAGTAGGGTCTGCATCCATTCATCCCTCTGAACTCCCTGATCACTCATATACTGCTCATATGCTGGGATGAACTCTTCTACATTTCCCTCTTCCACCTGAATAGGCAATCCATCACGCCCCACAGGTGAAGCCCTTAGCCTTTGCATTCTTGCTTCCACCTCCGGCCAGGTCAGTGCCTCCTCCCTTTTCTGTGCAACAGGCTCCTCAAATCGCTCAATCCCTCTCAAATGTCGTATTCTCTCAAGCACGTCCCACCCCCTCTGGGTCGCATGATCCCGATAAACGTCCAGGAAGAGCTCGATGTTGTCATCATCAAAGACGGGTGTAGGCTCTCTCCTGAAGGGCTCATGCCACTCTCCCTCTCCGGATGCCCCAAGCGGTCTCCGTCGTGGCCATGTGTCCCTCCCGCCCCTCTGCATGGCTGTCTTCGAGAAGTCAGACCTGCACATCAGGCGAGAGAAAACAACCAAGCACACAACAGGATCAACAAGCAGGCTTATCAAGTCTCAGACCAATCATACACCCCATTCCAGACAAATCAACCCCCCCCCTTTCTTTCTATCTAGCCCAACCATAGCCTGCGACACTTAGGACGAGGGGTTATTCTAAAAAGGGATTTGTGACTCTTACATATTCCCTGGCCACAAAATCTTTTATTCTTATCCCGGATACCCAGTCCTTCCATTCCGTCTCATCCAACTCCTCAATTTGATAGGCCCCGAATTCGCCACACCGCACAATCCTGTAGGGCCCCAACCACCTTTTGTCGAGCTTCTGCGACCACTGCTTTTCCAAAGAGGAATCGTATAGCAACACGACATCTCCAACTGCCAAAGACTCCTTCCGTACTCGCGCCATCCGATCCCATCGCATCTTATCCTCCATTCGGCTCCTCTCTATATGCTTGGAGGCCTCTCGTATCCTTCTCTCAGCCGCGCCCACGAAGAAGGTTACTCGCAGAAACTTTGGCCACTGGCCGGGTTTACCCTCCGTCCACTTAGCTAGGAGATTTGTGATGGTACAATACCCCCTTTCCACATGTGCATTTGCTTGAGGATGTGCAGCGGTAGTACAGTTTGCCATCACGCTATATCCTGCCAGCAAAGTCTGCACCTCGTTACAGGTGAACTCCGATCCTCGATCCATCACGAACTCTTTACCGATAGGGTAGCGTAGATAATACTCTTCGATGCCGCTTGCCAAAACTGGGCCGATCTTTGTGCGAATAGCCCGACCGTCCACAAACCCAGTGAGGTTATCTCACGCATCGAAAATGTAATTACAACCATATTCCCCAATCGACATGAAGAGTAGATCCAGATGTATGACTGCACCTACCTCTCTCTCCAACCTTGGGTGTAGGGGTTCCCCCGGCCTTTGCGTCGATCTCTCTTGGCAAGGAACGCAAGATTGACAATACTTGATGACCATGTTCACCATCCCATCACAGTGGTATAATTCACTTATCTTTGCACACGTGACACTTATCCCTCTGTGCCCTCCTGCTATACCATTATGTAATGCCGCTATAATGGCGATTTGCCGGTTCCTCCCGCATACAATCCGCTTGGGATTCCCGACTTGTCGTTTCATGAACAAATGACAATCCCTCACCACATAGAGATGCCTCATCTTCCGAACTTTAACGCTTGCATCCCTGTCCCTCATTTCACAGGATAGGAGTAGACCTAACTCAAGGTAGATCTCCTCTGCCCGAAACGCCTCCTTAATCTCCCCTTCTTCGAACTCATCGTCCCGACTCTCAGGAACGAGGTCCTCGCCCTCAGATGAATTTCATGAGCTCTTTCGGTCGAAGTCCCCTTGCAGAAGCATATTCGTAAACAAATACATCCCTCCCATAAGCTGCTCATGCTCCTTTACTTGAGTAGGGCCCTCCTCTATCGTTCTCACTTCCTCCACCAAGCCATGCGTACCTGCGAATGTCAATTTCATCATCCAGTGAACATCCTTGCCTCCCCATGGGTTCTCCTCCTGAAACGGCTTGAGGACTAAATTCGCCTTTTGCTCATACCCTCTAGGCGCTATCCATATGGGGTGGCTGACACAACTGGGCACTCGCAAAGACCATTCATTTATATGGAGGCGGACGTCTTCTTCCTGGTCCAAAAACCCATCAATTGGTGGAGTATCCTCAGTCGACTCCTGATCTAAGTTATCCGAGTTAATGCGGCTCAGGCCATCGGCCCTATTCTTGTTCCCTGGAATTCTTTCCAATTCGAAGTTAAACAGCCATATATACGTCAGCCATCGAGTGACGGTTGGGTCAGATGAAGTATAATTCTTTAGGGAACAAGCGAGCGCCGTGGGATCCACCCTCAATATGAACCTCCTGCGGAAAACATAATTCCGGAAGATCCTCAAGCAATGGAGTACCGCAAGCGTCTCCTTTTTATACTGAGGGTAGTTCCTCTCGGTCGTATTAAGAGTTCGACTTGCAAACCTTAGCGGCCTCTCCTTTCCTTCAGCACTTGCCTGAATTAGGACTCCTCCCAAGACAGTCGACCCAGCATCTGTCTCGATGATGAAAGGTTTTTCCTCAGTTCCTTCATAGTTTGGCGCCCCCAATACTAACCCTCCTTCCTTGAATTCCCCTTTCATCCGGGTCACTGCTTCTTCCTGATCTTCACCCCAAACCCATTCCTGATCCTGACGCACCAGCTTCCTTAAATGCTCGGTCTTGGCGGCGAAGTCCTTCACCTAAAGCTCCTCTAAAATCCGTAGGTGCCAAGGAAACTTCTCACATCCGTTATGGAGTGAAAAGACACTGGTCATTCTAAGATTTTGTCTGTCTTTTTTACATCCGGCCTCCGACCGTTCCCATTACAGACAAAACCCAGAATGGTAGCTTCCTTCATGTAGTGCTTGGATTTTGGACCACTCGCAGTAAGGTTGTATTCCTCCAACAAGCTCAGGACCTGATCGAGGTCCCGGATACGCTTCCAGACAAAACGCCTTACTCCGGGCATTACTTCGTCCTCCTCTTTCTCCTTTGGGCCTTTGACCGCCAAGTCATCAATATAGGGCTGAGTGATGTGTGGGTTGACCATCTGCATGACTCTGATCATATATCGTTGCACCATTGCCACTGCATTGGTCCAACCCTGAGGGGCCACATTCATATGAATCAGCCCCCTTGGCGTGTGCATTGCTGTTACTGGCCTATCAGGCGGGTATACAGGAAACTGGTCGTACCCAGAATATAGGTCTATAAATGAGATTATAGACCCCCCGGCGCATGATTCTGACAATGCATCCGCGTTTGGCAAGTCTCCTGCGTCTCGCACTGTCACCGCATTCAACAGTTGCAAGTCCTGCACCCATCGCAGCGTCCCATTCGGATTAATAAAGCAGAACCAAGGGGATGCATACGGTCCGCTAGAGTAGCCAGCAACATGCGTGCGCATCTTGCCACCACCACCATCTTCTCCTCGTCAGGATTCAAATATCGCGCGCCCCTTAGATTCCAAGGTTTATGTGGGACGGTGTGGATCCGAATCATCGGGATCTTGTCCACATCCAGCCTTCCACGCAGATCATCATTAAAGGCATATGCGCGATGCCTCGTCTTCATCAACTGCACCATCAAGGCCTTCTCTTGGGGTGAAAGGAAACCCGACTCTCCAACTATCAGCTTCCCTTCATTCTCATTGTTGATACGACATGGATCATTCAGCACCTGTTCTCGCATACGCCGTATCAACCCTCGTTCTCGCTCGTAGTAAGCCTCCTCGTCTTCTTATCTACCGTCTTGTACCGCCTTTGGGCACCCTGCTTAAGTCGTCCCCTAAAAAAGGTCGGCTTGTAGTTTGTGCCTGCGCCATCGCAGGGCCTCCCCTTCCTCCGGGAAGCCGATAGATCAACTCTACTTCCCCCACCTGAGGGCTTTCCAAGACTTGCTCCCTCAGCGCCTTGATTGCCTCCAAATCTTCCATCTCGTGTACCGCCACTATCTCCATAGCCTTGTTTACATCTGTGAGGCTTAGTGATAGCACCTCCGCTCTTCCTTTCTCCTCGGACTCTTCCCAAAGCTTCCGCCGCTCATTCTCCGACTCTACAAAGGTGAATGAGCTGGGATTAGGCCTATTTCGCTCGCTCCCTGGCCCCGTGTTCCGGCAGGTGATAACCTCATAGTTCCCACAAGCCGGATCACTCAAGAGTAATATTATCGTTCCATTGTGCTTATTGAAGATCAAAGTCTGCGTCCTGCACATGAACGATCTACCAAGGAGGATAGGGTGATCGACGTCTGGCATGACGAAGAAGCAAGTCCTCGCCCGCACCTTGCCAATTTCTATAATTACATTGGATGCCATGCCACAAAAAACTGCCTTGCAATTAGCCCCATGCAATACGCCATGGTCCGCACGGTCAATTTCCAGTCCGAGCATGAGGGCATCCCTTTCTCTGATGATGTTCATCTCGGCGCCCGTATCCATCATTGCAACACACTTCTTCTTTTTCACCACCAAATCCACCAACCCGTATGTTGCACACTTCCAGTCCATCCTTGTTACAACTTTTGTCCATCCTACCTCCCTTGGCAGGATCGCACTTAAATGGACGTTGGGCATTAACCTCTGAGATAATTGTCCTTTTAAACCATCTCGGAGCCTTGGGGCGGACGCCAAAATATCTTTTAGGTTCATAAGGTCATTATGACCCTCGAGGAGCCTATCCACCATTCTCTCCACATCAAAGTCTTCCTCTAGCCTGACTGCATACTTCCTTTTCTTAAGCGCGCTGTCCTGCTGACCTGGCTCAGCTTCCTCCTGGATCCCCCTCCCTTGGACTCTCAATTTCGTCCGCCGATCCTCCTCTTGTCGGAATCTCTCGTCCTCCGTATCGTCATCCTCCTCTTCTTCTTCCTCCGGGACCTCTACCACTTCTTTCCTACGCTCGGGATCGGGTCTCCTTTGAGGAGGCGCCTGACTCTGCGCCTGACTAGGGCCAACCTTACTTTGGCTCCTGGTTTGCGCTGCCTGAGGTGCCCGCCCATGCGGGGTAGGTGGCCTAAATGCCATCCCTGACCTAGGACCCGACCCTACTGTCCCAACCCCGGGGTAGCCTTGCTGTCCTGACGCTGATCCCGACCCGGACTCATAAAGGAAGACTCTGGGGAGGTCGGCCTTCCACCCCTGGGCCTCATCACATAACTCCTTCAGCCTTCGCTGGTATCTTCCCACCTTCTCCAGCAGGTTCTCCATTTTTTCCAGGATTGTTATGGCTGACTCTTCCACCTCCCTTGAGTCCTCATTATCTGACTCAACGACTATCGACTCTTCCTTTATAGTCCCAACCTTTAATCGTTGGGTCACCTCCTCACTCTCCCCCATAACCTCTTCAACCCTCACGGGGGGGTCCTCCCTTTCTTGTCATAGTCTGAACATCCTTGGAGGTGCCGGCCCAACCGTTCCCCGTCTTTGGGCTTCCTGTTTAACTCCGCCTGGAATTTTCGGATCGATATACTGCCCAAATTTATCATGTATATCCCCATCCATATTCGTGAAGATTAAACCAGTGAGGTCATCGTCCCGCCGCTGCTGGCAAAACCGTATAGTGTGGCCCACAATACCACAATGCCGGCAAACGTCATTTTGCCAATCAAAGCGGGGCCTCCCATATCCTTGGCCCCCTTCTTGACTAACTTGGCCGCCTTGGCCCTGACCTCCTTGGCCATTCCATCCACCACCGCGTCCCCTGCCGTTACTTCCTTGACCGCCACCCCCTCGACCTCCTTGTCCTTGACCACCAGTGCCTTGTCCTCCTTGTCCTTGACCTCCTTGCCCTTGGCCTCCTGCTCCCGCCACGCTAGCCAGCAAGGCTTGCTGCGATGGGGAAGGCTAGGCCCTGAACTGGCCTTGGGTCGCTGGGAAACTTGGGGGCCCTGCACTCGCCGATGGACCCGGATATGGGACCAACTGTCCTGGAAAAGCTTGGCCTCCCCCACACGAGTTGCAGTGATTACATCTGGGTCAGGGTGCTATCTAACAATAAAGCATCCAAGGTCCATATGCTGGTGGCAACCTCATTTGTGAGGGCCCTGCCGACATATGTGCAGTTGTGGCGACGACTCGCGGCGCAGCGATTGCCTGCGGATGCTTTCAAATCTGCTCCTGAAATCCACCGAGTGTCGTCGGGATCGCATGCTTTGAATGTGACTTTGTACTGCCGCGGTTGCTGCCGTACTTGCGATCGGTGATGACGCGGTCAACTTCCTGATGGCCATCCATAGAAGGAGGGTCCTGCGATCGTCGGCCCGGAAAGTCGTCGCTCTTGGCTGGCGTGTATGTTGCCAGCTTCGAGGCGTGGAAGACCGGATGGACCGTCAGATGCTCTGAAATGTTGATCACAAATGAAGGGCCATCGGGCTCATCGCCCGCGGCTGCTGTCACAGACCAAGGTCCAAACCACTTGGGAAGCAGTTGGCGTGAAACGTCCTATTCCAATGCAAACTCTTCCGCAGAGACCCAAACCAGATCACCGGCGCGGATGGGACATGGTACGCGACGCCTATTGGCTTGCTGCTGCATGCGAACTTGAGCCTTTTGCATATTTGTGCGGGCTTGAGTCAGCAAGTCCCTGTACTTCCGAACGGAAGCGGGGGAGCAAGCGGCGTCAATGTCGGCTGGTCGAGGGAGGAGAAGGTCAGCGAAGATGCGGCCTTTCCGTCCACCGTGGTGCAACTCGAATGGAGTCACGCCGATCGCCGGGTGCACCGAATTGTTGTAGGCGAACTCGATGTCGGGGAGGCGGTCAACCCAATCTTTCTGGTCCGGACGAATGAGCGTAGGAAACATCATTTGAGCGGTTTGATGTGCCCGCTCCGTCTGCCCCTCCGTCTGAGGATGTCGAGCCGAACTTGGTTTCATTGTTGTGCCGGACTCCTGCATGAGAGCAGTCCAAAACGCCGACATGAAACGAGTGTCGCGGTCGCTGACAATGTCTTCTGGTACACCGTGGCCACAAATCCAACCAGTGTGCAGGAGGCGTGCCAGCTCGGGAGCCGTGGAGTAGTACTTGCAAGGGAGAAAACGCGCGTACTTACTCAATCGGTCCACAACCGTGAGGATGCCGTCGTGCCCGA